TTTCTATCTCAGAAACTCAATGAAGTTTTTGAATTCTTTTGTTGAGATTTGAATGATTAATCCTGATTGATCCTGAATTCTTTGTCAATTACAGTTGGCTTGATGTTCTTTTTAGAACATTCCAAGAATGATAATGGATTTGACATGCAATTTTTCTTTGTGACAGACAGTAACAAAGCTGCAGTTTTCAAGAAATGGTTTCACTAATGAGGAGAAGGAGAAGTTCAAAGTAACTGCATGTTATCTGAAATCCTGATTTTAGGTTTTTTTTTTTTTTTTTTTTTTTTTGTCTCTGCAATAAATCATTGTACACCACTTTGATTTGTATTGTTCTTTGTCCTACAGAATTTGCTTCAAGGTGATGACTTCTACAGGGTAAGACTCCCATCCAATGTTCTAAGTCCTGCCGGGAGGGATTATATTATCTCATCAGTGAAAGCGGTAAGTTAACCACAAGGTTTTTTTGAATTCAAAACTTTTTGATCTTTGTGGTCAATTATCTTCTTATTGAGGATTTTACTACTATTTTGTAAGCTCTTTAGCTTGTTGGTCAAATGGACATTTATTTTTTTGCTTTTGGATTGAAACTTTTTGACCATGTAGTTATTTGTTAGATTTAAGGTCTTTACCAACTCATGTTCAACCAAGTTCAAGAGGGGCTCTTTGCAATCTGCCTTAAATCTGTTGACCACATAGCATGCCTTGAATCTGAATGTTTATTTCATCTCACTATTTGATCTTAGTTGCTTTTATTAAGAACTCTTACTATTAGCATTTGTTTAAAAGAAGTTGAATAATTTTTCGGTAAATTTTGATGCTATAAAAATTTGACAGTGGAAGTTAAGAGCTTTTTTGTTTGAATTTGAGACTTTTGTTTTCAAATATTAATTTAAAAAATGTAATACCATAGTGCTCTTCCATCAATTACCAAATTATTCTAAAAATTTAATTATGCTATCTCTTTTTGAATTTGTATGTTTCACCATCTTTGTTTAACTGCAGAGATGTCTTCCACGAGAGGGTTTGGATGAGCATTTTGTCATACTCATGGTAATTTAGAGTTAACTTTATGTGTGGTCCTGCATCATCCCCTCCCCCTCTCCTGGGTGTGTTTGTAGGATAGGGTTTTGGATAATTGTTCTAATTTAGTCAAACCTGTTATGAAAAAATTTGTTTTTTCAACTTTGGTGTGTAATGTAATGTGTAAATTTTTTTAACACTTGTTTGAAATGGGATTAACTCTAGTTTGATATTTATCATATTTTTAAATGAAAATCATTATTTTTACACTTTTAAAAAAGACTTTTTTTTTATTCAATCAATGGTAATGAGTTCCCCTTTTTTGGTGCTAACTTGCATAACATCATAGTAAATTTTTACTGCTTTGACATACATCTAATGTTTACTTGCTCATTTCTTTTTTAGATTACCATATGTTTAGTTTGTGTATAAAATTGGGAAATGTTATTTAAGGAGGTATATATGATGGTTCATGGTTGTCAGGGTGAAACTTCCTTTTCTAATTCTTGCTACAGTTTGCCTAATTGCCATTGCTCTTTTATCCCTGCTGTTGCAGGAAGCTGTAAATATCTTGGCAGTCAATTATGGGTCCCCAGGGGCATGCCCATATCCTCTGCAGTTGAAACTTGTGAGTTATAGTTTATCTCTTACTTTTCTCTTGTTTCTCAGTTAGTTGAGCAAAGCAAACTACAGAGATTATAACCTCTTCCTCAAAGTTATTGTTGTCATTGTTGTCGTTGTTGCCATTGTTGCCATTGGTTCTATTCTACAATTAGTTTAAGCTGATATCTTAAAAATTTGAACTTCCCTTTGTGTTACTACAATATCTTTTCCTAAATTGAAGTTGTTACTTTAATATGTAATGTGTTGAATCACACCTTGCCAACTCATAGATTTAATAGTAACTTTAAATTTAATGGCTTATATGGGATCTAAATTTTTTCTCCAACACTTGTCTTGGATGCTGGATCTACAAGAAATTTAGGTCACTTTGAAGTTGCAGTTTCAAATAGCATTTCTTGCGCCATGGTGTGGTCAATTAAGGTTCATAAGATTCAACAACTATAACCTCATCAAGTGTACTTAAGCATGTCATGGCATTCAATATCTATTGTCTTCTAGTCTTTTAGAATATTTCATTCTTGCTGGGTAAAACGGGGGATTGATTTTGATATACTGATTTTGCTGTATTAACTGAACTTTCACAAAAATTAAAGGTGATTTCTTGTAGTCTTAAAAGTTATTCTCTAGTTGTATTGTAATCTATGTTCGCTTTGCCTGTACTACAGCCTTTTAAATGGGCCTTCAACTCCCACACAGTTTTAAAGAACAATTAGAACGCACCAAGGTATTCTCTTATCCATATTATTCGCTTATTTTGGATCTAATATTATAGCTCCTGTTTTTTTAGAAAATTCGCAACATTATTAATTGTTTCTTTACCTTTAGTTTTATTGATTGACATCTAACTGGAAGCTATTTCATGGCTTAAAGGGGAATTTATTGATTGTAAATTGCAATCTCATCCTCTTTTTTTTTAACTGTTTCAAGAGCCTAAGATACAGGTTTTCCTCAATGGACAAGTTTGTTTTAGTAAATAACTTAAATGCATCCACTCCATGTCCAAGCTGATCATCATAGTATACAATTATACATCATATTTGCAAATTCTCTATAGCGATTTTGTTTTCATTTTAAGTTGCTTTTTTCAATCTAAAAAGCAAAAGGGTTGCTTTCATGGCCTTTTGTTTTGTAGGGCTCCAATCTTTACTGAAGAAGTTCTGGGTGGTGAGAATGGGGAAGGTGAAGTTGTGCAACCACCAGAAAGGTCTTTCTGGGCCAAATATGTAAGTTGGGAAGGAGTTGCAATTTCCTTGACTGTATTTTGTTTAAGCCATCTTGAATAAGACTAACTGAATCTTTTGTTTGTAATGGATGTATTTGATCCCTCTCGGACTCATAGTCATGAATGCTATAACCCAAGCAATGAATATGCCCGAGGAACAAGCTACTATTCAATTAGCATCACAAACACAGCCAGCTGCAGCAATGCAGCGTGCATCCAATGCTGCAGTGTAGAGAAGATGACATTTAACTATTTTGGGGGAAAATACTGGCTAAAATGTATACTTAGATTGGGTCTCGGATTGATCTTCATAGGTTTCCCATTGCACGAAAATGTTTAACTTATCTTATTAGTGAATCAAGTTCATTTACCCTAAAGTTAAGCTTGACTACCAATTTGAAGATGTTTAGTGTCTCTCTCTTACTATTTTTAGTAACATACTTTTTTCATTTAAATAATTAATTAAATACTCTTTCATGTTTTGCAATTTGGGTTGTACCCAATTGCAAAATTGAGGATGGAGGAACAACCTTCTATATCAAGAGCCCGCCGTTCATCCAGCAGTTCTTGATCTGCAGTCTTAACCACACATCACTCTTCCAAAGAAAAATGCACATGAAATTATACATCTGTTTAGAGAAAATAGGGTAATATTGGAGTATAAAATACTACATATCATATGATTAAGGATTTATCTAAGAGGCTAAGTAGTAATTATTGATTAATAATTATTACTTTTTGCCTTAAAAGTGATGAAGTTGACTTTTATTAAAATTGTAAGTGTCATGTGTTAAGTTTTGGAAAGTTCATTTTAAATTAAAAAAATAAAAATTATTATTTTTAATTTAAAATTTCACATTTAAAAAGAAAGTATTGTAATTATTATTTAATTATTATTTCTTATCTGTGTCCTAAGGTAGAGGATAAGACAAACCTTATGTAGACGGTTCCTCAAATCCCAAGGCCTCTCGGTAGCAAAGGGTATTCGTAGAGAGTTGGGAGTGAAACATGACAGTTTGGTTTCAACATGTAATTGGGCACAGGTCACGCAATGCCTGTGGAAATCTACAACATCCCCAAAGCTATGGAGTTTACATGGTAAAAGAACTATAGCAATGCGATGGTGGAGTCTGATTCCTTCTTGTCAGTACAAAAGATCAACCATGATGAAACTTGTTTTGACCCATACGAAAGTTTAAACAACAAATGTCTAGCCTTCATCTAGGAAAATTAGCATTATAAATTTTGACATGGTTTTTGAGAAGTCAGTACGTGTGGATATTATGATTTCATGATTCTTACTATTTGGGTATGAGTTTGATATTATTTTGTTGAATCACTTATAAATGTAACATAGGGAATGGCAAAATGACCTCTTAAGTATTTATATGTGTGTGAAGCATTTATATTAATTTCTTATATATGTGAAAAAATAATATATTAGAATATTTAGATTTCGTTTAGTATGGTTATAATTTTAAATTTTTTGTTTTGATTTTAAAAAATTTAGAAACCCAAAATAAAATTAAATATTTATATAAATTTTAAGTTTAAAGTTTTTGATATTTATTTTAAAATTTTATACTCAATAAATTAGTATTTTTAATTTTTAATTTTAGTTTCTAATTGTTAATTTTGATTGAAAAAAATTTAGAAACCCAAAATAAAATTAAATATTTATATAAATTAATTAAGTTTAAAGTTTTTGGTATTTATTTCAAAATTTTATACTCAATAAATTAGTAATTTTAATTTTCAATTTTAGTTTCTAATTGTTAATTTTGATTGTTTAAAGTTTGAAAACTAAAACTAAAAACTAAAAACAACAACTATACTAAATTAAGAATTAGATTTGGATAACAACAGATATACTCCTCCTGCAACTGCCATTTCTTCTTTACTATCTTTAAAACAAAATCCCTCAAACAAAATATATATCAAATCATATATCATGGTGTGTTTATCTTTTTTTGAATGACCTATCAATTGTTGCCTCTAATGATATAATTAATATATATGGTTCTTCGCTGGGATCCCAAAGCCTCTCAACAATAGAGGGTATTAGCTAAGAGCCGGAGGGAACGTGGCAGTTTAGTTTCAACAAGTAATTTGGGGCATAGGTCATGCAATGTGTGCAGAAATCTACGGCATCCTCTAATTTTGCATGGCAAAATAACTATAGCAATGTAATAGTAGAATCTAATTCCTTGTTAAATGAACAAAAAGTCAACTATATATTGAAAGTCGAAAGAATTAGAAGAAATTGATTGTATTCTTCCTTGAATAATTCTGTACAATGATTTGATGTATATATATATTTACATGTAAATGTTTAGATCCTAAATTAGTGCCTAATATTGAGCAATACTACCGTTGCTATACATTTTGACCATTGCAGCTATTGCTCCTTGGATCAATCTTTGATTGCTTTGATATGGTTTCCTGCTTGGACGTGATTTCCTTATCTGTTGTGATTGTTTCCTTACTCATCCTCTGCTGTGATTCTGCCTTCATACTCCCCCTCAAACTGTAGTGGGGTGAAGCAACCACACCCAGTTTGAATCTTAACAATTGATATTGCGAGTGAGGTAGGGGTTTTGTAAGCACATCAGCGAGCTGTTTAGTGCTAGGAATGTACCTAGTCACTAGAGTACCAATGGCCACTTTCTCTCAAACAAAATGGTAATCTAATTCAATGTGTTTTGTTCGAGCATGGAATACAAGATTGATAGACATATGAAGAGAACTGATATTATCAGCGAATAATTGAGGAGGTGATGGTAAAGAAATTCCAATGTCACGAAGAATATACGTAATCCACACTATTTCAGCAGTAGCAGAAGCCAATGCACGGTACTCTGCTTCAGCAATAGATCTCGCCACAGTGGGTTGCTTCTTTGAGGACCAAGAGATGCAATTTGCTCCAAGAAAAACACAGTACCCTGTAGTACTTCTTCTTGTAGTGACAGCTTGCCTAGTCGGCATCGCAAAATCCAGTCAAAGATAAGGTTTTGGAGGAGTAAAAACAAAGCCCATAATGCCGAGTACCTTTGATATATCTCAAAATACACTTAACTTGTCGAAGATGAGCTAGAGTAGGATTTTGCATAAACTGGCACACTTTATTGACAGCATGGCAAATATCAGTTCAAGTAATTGTTATATATTGGAGAGCTCCCACGGTTTTTCTATATTCCTTGGCATTCATAGGTTCCATATCTCTCAAGGTAGTAGTGTCTTTAGTGGCCAAAGGTGTTGCAATTGTTGATGCTTCTAACATAGAGCTTCGAGTAAGAAGGTCGGTGGCGTATTTTGCTTGCGAAAGAAAAGTACCTCCATCAAAGGGTGTGACTTCAATACCTAGGAAGTAGCTAAGTTGCCCAAGGTCCTTAAGTGCAAACTCCCTACTAAGATGGTCAATAATACTCTGTAATAGAAGTTTTGAACTGGCAGTGAGAACAATGTCATCAACATATAGCAGGAGTAATGCAGTACCTTGATTGTTATGGAGCACAAACAAAGAAGAATCAGCTCGGTTGCAGCTAAATCCCATCTTCAAAAGATGTAATGTAAATGTATCAAACCATGCCCTTGGAGCTTGTTTGAGGCCATAGATGGATTTATTGAGTTACAAACATGGTTAGGATATTTTGGGTCTTCAAAACCTGGCGGTTAAGTCATGTATACTATCTCCTTGAGTTTTCCATGAAGAAAGGCATTTTTCACATCCAATTGTCTAAGAGACCAATTTAGAGTTGTAGCTAAGGCAATGACCAGGCGTAATGTTGTAGGTTTGAGGACATGACTAAATGTTTCATCGAAATCAACCCCTAGTATTTGAGAAAAGCCTTTGGCTACAAGGCATGCCTTGAATCTTTCTATACTTCCATCTGGATGAAGCTTAGTTTTGAATACCCATTTAGAGCCAACAATGTTTGTTGAGGATGAAGGTGGTGGCACTAACTTCCATGTTTCGTTCTGATTTTGTTGAACTTGATATGTGATGTAAATGAGGCTATTTGTGAAGAAAAAAAAATTGGATTTAAGTATTCAGATGCAGGTAACCTGCTCTGATAGAAGAAATTGATTGTATTCTTCCTTGAATAATTCTGTACAATGATTTGATGTATATATATATTTACATGTAAGTGTTTAGATCCTAAATTAGTGCCTAGTATTGAGCAATACTACCGTTGCTACACATTTTGACCGTTGTAGCTATTGCTCCTTGGATCAGTCTTTGATTGCTTTTGTCACGCCCCAAAACCCAAATTCGAGGCGCGACAGACACCGTGCACTCATGAGAAGGTCCCATAAATGCACAAGGCTCGGAACTTATCCAATTCAGATCTGATACCACAAAATCTAAAGATCAAATTATAAAATTTCTCCGATATCATAAAATCTCCAAATACACTTTAGCTTACAACATCATTATCTATATCTAAAATCTATATCAATATCGAAATGACTAACCTTCTAACTCGTCACTTCCCGTCGTTTTCCTGTCCTCGGTTTCGCTTCCTGAAATGGTGACAAGAAAAAACTATGAGATAAACTCAGTAAGTAAAATATGGAGTGCCCTTTAATTAAACTTATAGCATGCCAACACGTGCAATTACGAAAAACGGATACAGTACGAGAACGAAATAGATGTCTCCTCTATAGGTCACGGCCAGTGTTATAAACCTCCCACTGACAGGCTACAGAAATTACTAGTGTATAACCCCCACTAGCAAGGTTACAGAAACGAACCGGTTCTATCAATAACATATCGACATGTGCCGACATGTGCTAGCGTTTAACCCCCACTAGCAGGATCATCAATAACATATCGACATGTGCCGACGTGTGCTAGCGTTTAACCCCCACTAGCAGGATTACAGAAACATGACCACATCGGAGATAAAACAGGCTGAAGTTAACAGAAAAACATAATTCACCAATCACTTTCAGATCATCAGGACAATCAATTAAATTCCAAGTAGGCATGCTCAATTTAATGAAAAGTATAAAATTTCACTTCAATCGATCATACTTGTGTAAAACGAGTTTAGTCCCACCACCACTTCAAAAACAAATCAAAACATGCTTTTAAAAACTGTACGAGCATTATCATAAATTTACTTACCTCACTCACATAAAACTGAAAACCTGATCTCGGTGCTAAACTAACAGAACGATCAAGAACCTAATCAAAATATCCAAGAATTAATTCTATACTATCACAAATTCAAGGTGGAAACTTCATTAGGATCACCTCTAATCACGATGCTATTTCTATCGATCTTCACATTTGTTCTTATATCACAAACTAAACATTTAAATCCCGGTTAATTGTTGACCCTCGGTGAATGAACAGTGCTCGTGAACAGTGCCACAAACAGTGCCGTGAACAGTTACTGCACTTCCAAAATTGGCCAAAACACTAACTAATTCCACGGGATTTTCTCTCCAAAAATCACAGCAGTCAATTAACACTCAATCAATTTACACTTAAATTAAACAAAAACCCACTTGAATTAGTGCTTAAATCTCATCCTAAAGCTACCGGAATTCCCTCATTTTTCCAGCACAATTCGGACAACACAGCCAGCAAACTAAATGAACAATTTAAGCCTTAAAAGGCTGTCACATACCATAATTCTCCAGCTGTAGAAACCGGAGCTGCAGGGGGGGTTGCTGACGGGAATTTGCAAGGAAAATTCTGCAGGGGACTCACGGTTTAACCCAAAATTAAAGGAGCCCAACTTAAATCAAAGCTAAAAGGATGAAATCATGGCTGTTTCTTACCTAAAAATGCCCAAAATTCCGCACCCACAAGCTGAAGCCGACGGACAACAGAGGGAAGAGCAGAGCAGATCCGGAAGCTTCTTGCAGGGGGGGAGAGATTTCTGGGTTCAAATCTGGTTTTTGAACAAGAAAATGAAGGAAAATATCAAGCTTCCTTACCGGTTTTCTCAAGAGGAGGGCTGTCAGTTGCTGGGTTCTCTTTGTTCGGCTGCAGGGGGGTCGGGAAGAGCAGAACACGCGGGCTGGAAGAAAAGAAAGAAAGAACAAGAAAAAGAAAAGAAGTTGATCCTTATCCTAAAATTTTCCCCTCTTTAAGTCCCTCAAGTTTGGACATTTTGATCATTAAGCCCCAAAACAGCATTTCCTCACAATTTAATCCTTAACTTAATGCTAAAATATCACAAAATTTTGAGGTATTACAGCTTTGATATGGTTTCCTGCTTGGACGTGATTTCCGTATCTGTTGTGATTGTTTCCTTACTCATCCTCTACTGTGATTCTGCCTTCATATAAATGGTACGACTTCTTTATATATGAAAATTTAATCAACAAATCTAGATCCTTTCTTGAAAAAAAAAAAGTACTATAAATTGTGACATGTATCTTGAGAAGTCAACAAACATGCATATGCC